GAACTGTTGTTCAGCATCTTAGCTGTAGAGGGCAGTGTCACTGGCCCTCATATGTGGGATCCAAACCGGGGCCCTCTGGCGTCCCAAGCCAGCTCTTAACTACTGCGCCACTCGACCGGCCCCCATCTCTTTTTTTTTAATAGGATTTTATTGGGGAAGAGTGTGTTTTTCTAGGATCCATCAGCTCCAAGTGAAGTAATTGTCTTCAATCTAGTTGTAGAGGGCACAGCTCCGTGGCCCATGCAGGGATTGAACTGACAACCTTGGTGTTACGAGCACTGTGCTCTAACCACCTGAGCTAACCAGCCGCCCCAAGAAATCCATCTTTTAACATAGTTATTTTTTTTTGCATGTGAGGTGAAAACATTTAAGAATTGCCTCTCAGTGACTTTCAAGTATACAATACAGTATTATTAACTATAGTCACCATGCTGTACATTATACCCCCAGAACTTATTCATCTTATAACTGAAAGTTTGTACCTTTTGACCAACATCTCACCATTTCCCACCCCCCGCCCCTCAGCTCTTGGCAATGACCATTCCATTCTCTGTTTCTATGAGTTTGGCTTTTTTAGATTCCACGTGTAAGTGAGAGCATACGTTATTTGTCTTTCTCCGACTTATTTTGTTGCTATTATTTTACATTCGAGTGATAGAGCCTGGATAATAAAGCACTCATTTATGTATAGAATCCAGCTTAATCTCCCTCTATGCAGCTTTCATTTACTACAATGATAGTAAAAATTCATAAAGGCACTAATTAATACAGGAGGTTAAGCTGGATAGTATAAAATCTTCACTAATGATAAAAATGTAAAAAAAAAGTTAAATTTAGAGGGGTTGAAGAAAGGAACAACGCTCAAATTATTCTCCTAGAATGTTCAATAACATGACAGAGTTAGGAGGGCCAGTGGCCCAAGGGTCAGCGCAACAGGGTTTGAGTTCTGGCTTTACCATCCCCAAGTTCATGACCTTTGGGTAAACCTCCTCTCCCCAGACCGCTTTTACTTAATGAGAAACTAAGAGCACCGGGCCGGCCGAGTGGCGCGATGGTTAAGAACTCGCTTGGGATGCCAGAGGGCCCCGGTTCGGATCCCACATATGAGGGCCAGTTACACTGCCCTCTACAGCTAAGATGCTGAACAACGGCTCAACCTGGAGCTGGGCTGCTGTGAGTCGCCGGCGACGGCGTGGGCTGCAGTCCCTGTGNAAAAAAAAAAGGTAATGAATAGTTACAAAATATATTTTACACTGACTTTGTTTAAATGAAAGTTTGTGTTAAAATCATAAAATAAAGGGCATAAAACAGAAGCTATTAAACATGTTGTAATGGTGAATCCTGAGTTTGGGTTGCTATTTTCATGGTATTTATTCTGTACAATATATCTATGTTGTCCGACATGCATTTCTCTTCCTCATTCCTATTTACAGTTTCTTAGAGTTAGCACAATGCCATTTCTTTAACAATTCAATGATCATCCAGAAGCAAAAGTACAGCACAGGAAGATAATCTTTATTATATTTTAGCTAGAAACAGAGCAGATAGCGAGTTCACGAGGTATTTTTGATTATTATTCTTTTAAGATCAGGCTTCAATAACAATAATCAAAATGAGTCTTAACTGCACAGATATTCTGGTCACTATTATAATCTTCAAGGGCACGAAAGCCAGCAGCGTAAAGTTACATAAAGTTAATGACTATGAGAATTTTCGATGTGCCAAAAATGTAGACCACTACATTCAACTCTACCCTTGTATTTTCTTAATATTCTTAAACATTGAAGAATTATTGTTACACAACAAAATATCAAACATGCACATAGTATTCCTACAAGAATACTATCTTAATATTGTCAACATTAATACTAAGCTTTCCTTTTCCCCAAAAATTCAATGAATCATGGTTCCATTCCCTAAATGTATTAGTGTTAGTGGTAATATGCAAACTTGATTTTGTTTTCAACATTACATAGCAGATTGACTTCACATTTGGTGGCCAGCTGTGTACCCTAATTTTTCATCTTTTACTTTCTTAATAAATTTAATGACATTTCATAAGCCCTGAGATTTTCAATAACCTGCTAATGATTGTATACTTTTAATTTATACTTTATTCCATTTAATTTGAACCCCACATAATTATTTAAAATTACTTACAGATGTAGCAATAACAAAATTTACTACTTATACAGTTAGACTGCTAATGCCTTTTAAGTAAGAGTTGCATATTTTATGCATTTTTTTTTACTTGATAAGAACAATTCTTAAAATTACATATATAATTCCGTCAGCAATGTGCTTTTCATTTTGCTTACTTCTTTCTACATGGATAACCAGATTCACTTTTTTCCTCTCTTGTAAAACAACTCTTTTTTTTTCCTTCCCCAAACACAAATGTTAGTTGTCTGACTGAACAGGTGCCAAAAGAAACTTACAATTTGAACAGTATATTGACTACCAGTCAACTATAATGACTATGAGAAATATGCTCATAACAGGCATTCAATACATGTTTGTTACACGTGAAATGCGTGAATTGTAAGGCAGCTGTTAGTCATATACTTTTCATCATAGACTGTAACTCATTTTGTTTAACTAGAGAATTCAGGTTACCAGATTTAATTTGCCCTCAAATGTAAATCCAACGATTTGAAATTCTAAAAACTGTTTTAACAGTTCTCAGAAAAGGTAAACAAGTTAATAGTAGTTGTTACTGTAACATTAGTTGATAGGAAAAAAAGAACAATTACTTTTCAGTAAGTCATATGTACAACTGAGAAGAAATAAAAAAAAACTAGGAAGTATTAGTTAATTATTATTTTCTCCTGATTTATCCTTACAGCTATTTTTGTTCAGATATTTATCCCTGTTAACTTCTCTGATGCTGAAAGGGAATTTTATTATCAGAATGGATTTCCCCATTTCCTTAGGTACATAATGTTAAGTGAAAAGGTGGTATAAATATACACATAAGATTGTATTTTCATGTTACACCATTTTTTCGGCATGTTTCTTGTTGACATTAACTTTTTCCTATTTAAATGATTCTGTATAAAATATGAGATAATCTGCCAACTTACAATGAGATCGCTTGCTGATAATATTGTTTTTGTAGACAGCTTTGAAGCATATTGCACATGTGTCATCTAGCACATTAATAAGTAACTATCGTTCTTTTTAGAAAGGATACGCTGAGAAATTCAAAGCCAAAACATTTTTAGTCTGTCACAGGACAATGGCAATGGCAAAAACATTGACGATACAGTTCATGGTTCGGTTCTCCCATCTTACAGTACAGGTTCCTGAAACACATACACAAAAAAGGACTGAGATACCAGCAAAACACTGAAATTACCAGAGAACGTATGTGTATTTTTTATAGGTTTTCATTTCTTATTTCCTGCAATCTTTTAAATCTTCACATTTCACATTTGTCTGAAGGTATACTTGTTAGTTACTAGGTACAAAACAATTCCGTTGATAAAGTCTTTTCAGAATTTCATTAGAGATAAATAAGCACTTGATAATAAGTGCACTGTTTGACTTTGCTAGAAGTTGGATTCTGTTTGAATCAGCTTAAGGTTTCTTACCATCCGATGTGACATCCCAAAAGCATGAGCTGGCTGTGTGAAAGCCATATGCACTCCTCTGGACCACAGCGCAGGTCACTAAAAATAAAGTCACAGAGTGAGGACACTTCCAAAGGAAAAGATATCCAAGATCTAAGTGTTTGAGTTCAAAGCTTTACAAGGTGTAAACATAACAGAAAACAAAGCATTCAGGAAATGGATTGAAAAAACTACGCCTCTCATCTTGATCATTTACTACCATGATTTTGTCCCCACTGGATCCAGTCTGTTTGTTGCTCAGTGCCATAACCACTGGTGATTGTAGTGCAGGAAAATTCTGGGCCAAAGTATGTGCCTTCCTCATGGGCATAATTCAGGCACCAAAACAAAGAAAACATTCCACTTTACAAACAATTATTGTGTAACACGTCACAGTCCTACATGTAAGGAGGCATGGGGCTAATGAAAGGAAGAAAGTAGAGCTCAGTCGGTTTCAGTGGAAAGAGGTAACTGATGCAAGTGTAAAAGGTGACGCTACCAAGGACAAGTACATGGTTGGTAGGAGCTCAAACTGCTTTTAGTTAGCAAAAGATCTCCATCTTTCAGGTATTATCATATATAATCTTTTGATAAATAATTCAGAAGTCCTTCATACCCTATTAGCATCCAACTTGAGTGTCTATCATCCATTTATATTCTCTAAATTCAGAGAAAACCACAAGGACAAAGGTGAGCAAGCTTGTGAGGAAGGACACCAGTACTTACCAATATACTTATAAGCTTTCCCCAACTTCACCAAGTGTGCTAAGGATTGCTCCACTATGCTTGCGGTCCATTGGTTGATGTTGTCCTGATCATAATCTTCACCACCCAAAACCCCATCTATACACTAAAAGGGAGAGGACGGTTAAACAAATTATGCATGAATTGCAGCAAAAATTTACTCAAAACACAGAATTAATTTGTAACCCAATAAAGTGTCTTAGAAAATATGCGTCTGGTAAATACTTATTACGCACTGTCTCTAATTGTTTAAGAATTAAAACTCATAGACACAGACAACAGTTTAGTGGTTACCAGAGGGTAAGGAGGGTGGTGGTAGATGAGGGTAAAAGGGATCAAATATATGGTGATGGAAGGAGAACTGACTCTGGGTGGTGAACACACATGGGTATATAGATGATGTATTATAGAATTGTACACCTGAAATCTATGTAACTTTGATAACAATTGTCACCCCAATAAACTTTCATTAAAAATTTTTTTTCAAAGCATTTCCGCATGCATTATCTCACTCTACGTGATACTATGGGCCACATAAAGATAACTATGTAAAGAACATAACCTAACAAGAAGCTAATAAAGTAACTAACACAAGGAAGACTATTCAAGGATGATAAGTTATGTCATAAAAGGATTATGAGGGGTGGAGATTTTAAAAGGGTGATATCAATTGGTTAAAGAATGGCTTTCAAACAGGTGGGATTTGAACTAGGTTTTAGATGCTAAAAAGAAAGGATGAGACCAATTTAAAAATTTAATTCTCATGTATAATAATTACATTCTCTTTCATATTATATAATTGCTTAGCTATAAAACTAGCACACCTGACACTAAAAGTAAATCATCAACAAACAATACTTTCAGGTGCTCTGGAAAGGCGATGTTAAATAATTTTCCCCAGTGCTTACTCGCATCCACTTCTGATACCTGATTAAGAGTATCACAATCTTAGGTTTTAAGGGCACTGCTGCCACCTACTTGGCTTTGTGGTATTTTGCAGGTGACTTAACCTCTTGAAACCCCTATTTTCCTAATCCTTAAAGTAAGGATAACAGCCTGATCTATCCAGGTTGTTGTGAAGATGGAATGACATAATGAATGCCATGTGCTCAAACACAGTGACTGCCAGAGAGTAAGTACATAAATAATATTAGATATTATCATCCTTGTCATTACCATTATTGCTGTTTATTTTATTATATCTATTGAGACATAATTGACATATAACGTCATGTATAACATCATGTATGTTTAAGGTGTACAACATGATGATTTAATACACATATATATTGTGAAATAATTACCATGATGAGGTTAATTAACAAATTCATCTCTTTTTTTTTAAGATTTTTATTGGGGAATTGGGGGATGGTGAACAGACAAGTTGCTGTCCTTTTGTTCTTCAGTCTAGTTGTGGAGGACGTTGCTTCACTGGCCCAAGTTGGCACCATCATTGCGCTCTTCC